CTTTGGGAGCCAGCTGAACCCTCCTTGTGTGGTTCAGTCTCAGTCGTCATTTCTCACATCCCAAATCCAGAGCTGTGGTTGCTTTTCCCTGTTGGGAGCTGTGCTGGGGCTGGAGGGGATGGATGCCCATGCTTGGAAAACAGAGCCAGATTGTCCAAAGCAGCCCACAGAGATTTGCAGGGCGCTGGTTCTGCTCCTGTCTCCTCACTTCAAGAGCTGCATGATCTTGGTCATGTTACCCCGGATGGGATGTCCAGTCAGGACACAAAAAAGCTGGAATTCACTCTTGGCCATTAATGGCTCCGTTGCCTTCTCAAGACCAGGGATTTCTTCTCACTGCATCATTGAAAATGCAGTTTTACTTAAAATAAAAGCATGCTGAGGTGGTTTTTTTTTTTTTTTTTTTTAAATCTCGAGATTTCCCACAGTGCAGTTCCTTCTGTTGATGTGCAGGATCTTCCTCTCAGGAGCACCCAGCACTTCTCCAGCTCCAAATAATCGGGATAGTTTGTCCCTGAAGCACTGAGAGCAATGTTGGGAGCAGTTGAGTTTCCGTGGCTCTGTGCAGTGGCTGGAGCTGTGACTTCCCCCTCTTCCCTTCCCTTCCTGGTGTGTGTCCCCAGGCCTCGGCCGAGTTTGGGGTGGATCCTGGGCACAGGGAGGGAGGGAGGGAGGGAAGGGAGACCTGCTGGGACCTGTCCTGGGCTGGGTGTCAGCACTGCCTCCCTCTCCCCATGGCCACAGAGCTGCCTCACAGGGCTCCCTGCAGCTGGAGGAAGGATGGGGGGAAACTGGGATTTAGGATATTTAGGGTCTCTCCCTAAGTATGAAGAGGTTTGGATTTGTGGGCTCTGAGTTCACAGGGGGAAAATGCTCATTTTTCCAGCTAGGATTGTGTTTGGGCTTTGGGCAGCAACCACTGGGGTGGTTTTTTTTTGGTTTTTTTTTGTGTTAAAAATGATTATTTCAATACTGCTTCCCTGGTGCTGCTGCTGAGGCTGCCCTGCCTCGGTCATGTGAGTTTGCTCCAAGAAATCCCAGAGCAACTTGGGCTCCTTGGGCACCTTGAGCAAGAGGCTGAGTCTCCCAAATTCCAGAATGGCTTGGCTTGGACAGACCTTAAATATTCCTGCCATGAGCAGGGACATCCTCCAGTGTCCCAAACTGCTCCAGCCTGGCCTTGGGCACTTCCAAGGATCCAGAGGCAGCCACAGCTTCTGTGGGAATTCCATCCCAATATCCCAATATCCCATCTCACCCTGTCACTTTGAATCCATTCCCCCTTACCCTGTCACTCCATCCCACAGGCAGGGAACAGAGCTCAGCTCTTCCCAGGAAATGTTGTTTTGTGGGTGGCAGAATTCCCTGGAGCCGTTTAGCCTCGTGCTCCTCACAGGGTGATGCTGGTTCTCCCTTCCTGCCCCAGGTGTTGCTCAAGTTCTCACCTGTGCTGCTGCACTGGGTGGCACCTCTGCCTTTGGAGAGAGAGTTTTGGGATCTTTTCTGGGTTAGAGCACCCAGGGAACATTGGCTGTTCCCATTCCCCAGGTGTGACCCAGCTTTTCCACCTGTGTCTTCCTCCCAGACTGCTCAGGTTCCTCTAAATTTTAAGGCCAAGAAGCAAAGGGAGAAGCGGGGGGGGAAAAAAAAAAAACCCCAACAAACCAACCCACTGAGGTTCTGTGGAAAACTGGTAATTAAAGAGGTGTTTGTCAGCACTTTTGGTTGTGATCCCATCTTGATGTGGTCGTCTCATTTGAATGTAAATGTCAAATTCCAGAGCTCCTGGAGGAGAGGGATTGGGTGACATCCTGCTGAGGGAAGCACAAGCTCAGGGGTTTCAGTGAGCTCTGGGTGCTGCTCTTGGGCTGGTGGGGGGATCTGGGAAGGAGGAGAGAGGTGAGAAATTGAGTTTTGAGAAAAAAAAAAAAAAAAGAAAATCGTGCTGAGTGTCCTGATCTGTGGGGCTGGAGTGAGCCCAGAGAAGGGAATGGAGCTGGGAAGAGTCTGGAAAACATCTGAGGGAGCTGGGGAGGCTCAGGAGGGACCTCCTGGCTCTGCAGAACTCCCTGACAGGGGCTGGCAGCCAGGACGGGTCCGGTTCTGCTCCCAGGGGACAGCAGGGCAAGAGAGAGAACGGCCTTGAGTTGTGGCAGGGTCAGGTTGGACATCGGGGACATTTCTCCGTGGGAGGAATGATGGGCTTGGAGTGTCCAGGGAACTCCTGGAGGTGACAATCGGTGCTCTGGGCTGGCATTGAGGTGGGGATGGGGCTGTGGATGATCCTGGAGAGCTTTTCCGACCTCGGGGATTCCATTTAGTGCTGAGGAGCAGCGGCCAAGGGTGGTCAGGAACCAGCTGGATGTGGAACATCAGCTCAGGGAGGTGCAGAGCTTCCCTGGCTCCCGTTCACCACCCCAAAAATGACATTTTTGCTGCCTGGACTCCCTGTGTGTGTGCCAGGCTGAGCTGTGGGGCTGTGCTGGGATTTTTGGGAGAACCGAGAGCGGGGTTGGGGCTGCACAGGGCTGTCAGTGATGTTCCTAAATCCCCCAGAGGGCTCTGCTGTGCTCCACCCTCTCGGGCTCTATTTCACCTCAGTGATTTCCCCCTCACTCATCTGCAAGGGCCATTCCCAAACTTTTCCCCCACAGCCACTTTTGGGGTGGAATTTGGCACCTCTGAGCCCCGCGGAGCCACCCAGTGTGGGACAGGGAGCTGGGCAGGCAGGGGGAGGATGGAGCTGCTGGGAAATTGAGGTCAGTGGCTGAAGCTCCCCCTTGGTGGCCCATTCAGACTTTTCCTTGCCAGGGAGGGGACGAGCTGTGGTTGTGCCAGCGGCTTTTTTGTCACTTGTCACCTGGCTTCAGGACATTCCCAAGTGGATTGTGCCCCTTCCATCGTGGCCTTGAGCCCTGTTACCAGGAGCAAGCAGTGGATTTGGGGTGCCTGGGACTTCCTTTGAGTCACCCACCTTAGGAAGTTCCCAAAACCCCAAATCCATTCTTTGGAACGCTCCATTTCCCCTTGGTAATTCCTGGGCTGTTGGGAAGGGGAGGGGGGCGATGTTTTAAAGACTCAACCTGTGGATGTGGCTGGAGCATCCAGGCCCTGAATCCATCCCCGGGGGGCTCGGGCTGCCCCCCTTTGCCCCCCTTTGCCCATCCTCGGTGGCCGTGGGACACAAAGGCCGTGTTGTGTGCGGGGTGGCCGAGTTGGAGCAGGCTCCAGGCTGGCCCTTGGCAGTCTCATGACCCTGCAGCCATTCCCACACTGTTGGGATCATTATCCCACCCCCAGGCTGGGGAGGAGGGGGGGGGACCCTGCCTGGGTGCTGCTCCCCAGAGCTGGGGACCCTCAGGATCCCTGCCCAGAGCTCCCAAAGGCTGCACACAGCTCAGGTTCACAGGTGTGGGGAGGAAAAGCTTTGTAGGGCATCCCTTGTGGAGAGGGGGGAGCTCCAGTGCTGGTTTTGGGGTGGGCAGGGATGTGTGGGATCTGCTGTCCTGTGTGTGATCAGGAGGTTTTGGGAATGGGACAAGTGAGGCAGCAAAGCCTCCCTGGGGTCCCAGCTCAGGGGGTCCCGGGGGTCCCCTGGGGTGCTGCCATGGGCTGACCTTGCCCAAGGTCGCACCTGAAGCCAGGTACGAGTGCAGAGCGGTGCCACCAACCAGCCCTGATGTAAAAATCCCTGAAATTCGGGCTTAAAGGTCAAATCCTGGAGCTCAGGGGGTGGCTCTGGAGTCAGTCCCACGTGTCTCAGGGCTGGTTTTGGTGTTTGGTCTTGGTGTGGCAGGACTAGTGCCTGCCCTGCTCCCTTGGATCCTCCTCTTCCTCCTCACCCCCATCCCGTTCCTGCTGGGAGCTGAGCACTGCTGTCCTCCTGCTCTTGATCATGCAGGGATTTCCTCCAGATCACTTTTCCACAGCCTCAGACCTGCCTTCCCCTGCCTTTTCTCTGTATAAAACAGGAAGGTGCCAAATTTAAACTTATTTTCTGGGCTTAACAAAACTTTTCAAAAAGAAGTAAATATGGAAAACTACTGAGGAGGCCGGGGGTGGGTGGGGGAAGCTGGAGTTGTGCAACCTGGGCTCCTGCTCCGTGCTGGGACCCGGGGCTGGGAGTTGTTTCCTGGATAATTGCTCCTGTCCTGGATCCATCCTGACTCATCCATCCCCCCATGGCGTGGGACAGGCCACGTCCCGCCGTGCCTCAGTTTCCCCATCTGGAAATCAGGACCTCGGATCCTCCAGCCTTGTGCCAGGGTGGTTTCTGCACTGGTTTGTGCCTGGATTTCTTGGCTCCTGCTGATCCCAGTGCTTGGGATGGGGGGAGTTACGTTGATTTTTCCAGCAAAGGCATCGTTGCTTCGAGGAGAGTGTGGATTTGCTGCTTGAGATGGACGGGAGGGAAATGTTATTCCTAATTTTTGGGGTCAGAAGACTGGGACTGTGGGAGAGTGAGAGCTTGTTCATGCTCGCAGTTGGGCCTCAGAAAGCAGGCCTCTCCCACCTGGGGCTGCTCGGTTTCTCCTGGGTTTTTCCAGCCTTTGGAGTCAAGTGGATCTGTCAGGAGTGACTTTATTTATTTATCTTGTCCCAAACAAACCCTTGGCTCTGGGAAGAGCTGCTGCTTCTGCTGGAACCTGTCCAAGATCCAGGTCTGGTGCTGGCACTTGGTGATCCTGGTGTCCTTTCCTCTCTCCTTCTCTCTGGGAAGGAGCAGGAGCTGCCTCTGGTTCCAGGGCTCAGCTCTGCTCTGTCAAACACCCGGGGGAGGCTGGGGCTCCCCTCTGCCTGCCCTTCCCAAAGGATATTCCCTGCCTGCATCCCTCCAGGTGTGCTGGCTCCCAGGGATGGTGTTCCCGGGGATGACATCACTGTGTTGGCCGCTCTCAGAGCTGGGCACCTTCCCAGTAGGGAGTGGGAATGGGACTGGGATGCACTGGGGGGGCTCAGGCTGCCATAGCCCCACACTGGGCACAGCTGTGGCTGGGTGATCCCAGCTCCCTGCTCTGGCCTGGATCTGTGCTAATTCAGCTGTTCTCACTTGAGAGCACCTGGGCTCTGTTGTTCCTCCTCCTCCCCAGGTAAGCACAGCACGGGCAGGACAATGGGAGAGGCACAGGGGACACGCCGGGTGCGTCCCTCAGGAATTTGGGAATTCTCCCGATGTCTCCAAGCTCTGACTCACAGCCTCCCCTCCCTCCCCTTTCCTTCCCCACAGCCTTTAGCGTGGAAGATGGCGGGTGGCGTGGACGGCCCCATAGGGATCCCGTTCCCGGATCACAGCAGCGACATCCTCAGCAGCCTGAACGAGCAGAGGAACAACGGGCTGCTGTGCGACGTGGTGATCCTGGTGGAAGGCCAGGAGTTCCCCACCCACCGCTCCGTCCTGGCAGCGTGCAGCCAGTACTTCAAGAAGCTCTTCACCTCAGGGTTAGTGGTGGACCAGCAGAACGTGTACGAGATTGACTTTGTGAGTGCGGACGCGCTGTCGGCGCTGCTCGAGTTCGCCTACACGGCCACGCTCACCGTCAGCACTTCCAACGTCAACGACATCCTCAACGCCGCCACGCTGCTGGAGATCCCGGCCGTCAGGGATGTCTGCACGGATCTCCTGGAGAGGAAGATTCTGGCCAAAAATGACCAGATGGATACAGTAGATCAAATTGATCAGAGGAACCATCTCAGAGCTAAAGAGTACCTGGAGTTCTTCCAGAGCAACCCCGTGAACGGCCACCAAGGCAGCTTTCCGTGGACCAACCCAGAGTTGAGAGACCTTCAGAGACTGAACTTCCGAGGCCAAGAGGAGGAGGAGGAGTCCAACTGCAACGGCCTGGACTTCTACTCGCAGGCCACCCCAACTGAAAGACCAAAGGCAAGTGACTGTGACCCCGACAGCAACCCGGCCATGTGGCTGGACCGCGAGGACGAGGAGCCGGTCAGCGGCGGGATGTTCTCCCCTTCCCAGAACGGACATTACAGCAGCCGTGGCTTGGCCACCCCGGGAGAAGAGGAGGGGGGCACCCCCAGGGGCCCTCTGGACCCGCAGGAAACCGGGGACTCTCCCAGCTTCATCCCCGCGGGCACGGAGACGGAGGATGACGGCAGGGAGGTGGATGACCTGGCCGCCAGCGCCCTGCTCCAGCAGATGATCAACTCGGTGGGGCGGCAGCAGCTCGGCGACGACGACCGCAAGGACGAGGACGGGGTCATGGATTATTACTTGAAATATTTCGGCAGTTCCAGCGAGGGCGACGTGTACCCGTCCTGGTCTCAGAAGGTGGAGAAGAAGATCAGGGCGAAAGCATTCCAGAAGTGCCCCATCTGCGAGAAGGTGATCCAGGGAGCCGGGAAGCTGCCGCGCCACATCCGCACCCACACCGGGGAGAAGCCCTACGAGTGCAACATCTGCAACGTGAGATTCACCAGGTACGGGCTGGGCACAAACCTGGGGGATAAACAAAAACCCGGGGGCTGCACAAAAACCCGGGGGATAAACAAAAAACCCAGGGCCTGTGCACAAACTGGGGGGCTGCACACAAACCCAGCCCTCTCCTCACCCCAGGAGCTATCACAGGGCTGGTCATGGGTGATTTTATTTCTCTGCTCAACTCATTTCCATCCTAAGAGGCGAGTTGGGGCTGGAGGCCAAAGTTTTCCAGAGAGATGAGCAATTTGGGGGTGTGACACTCGAGCTGTCTCAAGGGGCCTGGCTCCATGGCCAGTGCCACCACCCCACTGTCCTGAGTTGCTGAGCTCTGCTGGAAACCCCACGTGGAGGGGAAACAGAGCTGCAGCTCTCGGTGTGTCCATCGTGGCCGAGGTAGGAGTTTGGGAATCCTTTGGGAATCCTTTGGGAATGGCTCCGTGGCACGGCTGAGGTGATGCTGGTTGGGTTGGCAGGAGCCTGGAGCCCACTCGTGTCCTTGGCAGCCCCGCTGCAGCTCCTGGGGGCGTTTGCCACGGCCCTGTTCGTGCTCAGGGCTGCTCTGCCCCTCGCCTGGGCCAAAGAAAGGGGACATTGTTTGGGTCGCTCCGGTTCACTCCAGTCCGCGCCCGGCGCCGCCTCCTCTCCCCGGGCTCTGGGGCAGGGCCGGGCTGGGGGTCCCAGCCTGGAGCAGCGCTGACCCTGCCGAGGGGCAGCGTGGGGTTGGGGCTGCTCCCGTCCCTTTTTCCCTTTCCCTGCTCCTTTCCCTTCCTTTTTCCCTTTCCCTGCTCCTTTCCCTTCCCTTTTCCCTTTCCCTGCTCCTTTCCCTTCCCTTTTCCCTTTCCCTGCTCCTTTCCCTTCCCTTTTCCCTTTCCCTGCTCCTTTCCCTTCCCTTTCCCGTTCCCTGCTCCCTTTGCCTTCTCCTTCCCTTTCCCTGCCTGTTTCTCTGCCTGCTCCTTGCTGAGCCTGGGGCCTGCTCCCCTTCCCTTTCCTTTTCCCTTCCCTTCCCTTCCCTTTCCTTTTCCCTTCCCTTTCCCTGCCTGCTTTTCCCCCTTTCCCTTTCTCTTCTCTTTCCCTGCTTCTTCTCCCTTTCCCTTCCCTTTTCTTTTCCCGTTCCCTGCCTTTTCCCTGCCTGTTCCCGGCCTGTTCCCTGCCTGCTTTTTTCCCCCTTTTCCTTTTCCCTGTCGCCGCCTGCCCAGCTGTTCTCTCTGTGCCGGTTCCCGCAGCCCAGGCCGTGCTTTGGGGTCTCCATCCCGGTGGGATCCGTGTGGGATCCCCTTGGGCAGCTCTGAGCCCTGGGCCGGGTCCGGGTCCGGCTCCTGCCCCTTCCCCTGGTGCTGCCGCGCCCAGCCCACGTTGGAGAGCTGAGGAATGCAGATAATGGCAGGGGCAGGGTGCCAGCCCTCCCTCCCTGCCTGCCTCCCTCCCTCCCTGCTCCCCCGGCCCTGCCACGCGGCACCTCCCTGCTCCGGGGGCCCGGGGGGATCCCAGAGCGACCCCAGAGTGATCCCAGAGCGATCCCAGAGCGACCCCAGAGTGATCCCAGAGTGATCCCAGAGTGATCCCATAGTGATCCCAGAGCGATCCTACAGAGATCCCAGAGCGACCCCATAGTGATCCCAGAGTGATCTCACAGCGATCCCAGAGCGATCCTGCAGAGATCCCATAGTGATCCCACAGAGATCCTACAGGGATCCCACCCCTCTGGGGTGACTGCAGCACCTGGAAATGCCACAGGGTCCCTGGCCCTGCCAGAGGAGGGAGGGGAGGGACGGACGGGGATTTTTGGGGAGGGGGAGTTGGTGAGGGCAGTGCCAGCTCAGCCTTTTTCCATCCTGCTCCCATTCCCTGGGATTGGGATCTGCTCCCATTCCCTGGGATTTGCTCCCTGTTGGCTCCCAGGAGCACCTGGCACCTGTAAAAAGCTGCTTTTCTAAACCACCAGATTCCAGCCAGAATATTCCTCCTCCTCCTCCTCCTCCTCCTTCCCGCAGCAGGAGAAGCCTGGACAGGGACAGGGAGCTGTCCTTGTTCCCTGCCATGCCCTGAGCTCCATTCCCCCTGGATTTTAGGATTCCATGGGGCTCGGGGAGGGCTTTGGGCTGTGCCGGGGGGAGCCGGGGCTGCTCCAGCCGGGTGTTCCCGGCCGGGTGTGGACCCAGCCCGGCCCTGCTCAGGGATTTTTGCTCCCTGGTGCTTCCTGGTTCCTGCGCGGTCGCAGGGGGAGGAGCGGCAGCGGCAGCTCCGATAAGAGCAGAGAGAGTGGGGGGTGATAAAACGACACATTTTTAACTTCACAAGCTCTTTTTTTTTTTTTTTTTTTTTTGTTTCCCTCACAGCTGGGTGTGTAAACTTGGGGCTTCCATCCTTCCCTGGAGCTTTAGGATTTTTGGGGATGCTGTGGGCAAAAGGGAGAGAAAGGTTGAGGGCTGGGATCTGAGTGTTGCATGCAGGGTGGATCTGCTCGGGAAGGGTTGGGCAGGTGCTGGGGAGGGCAGGAGGGGCTCCCAGTGCCCGGCCACGTGCCCGGGGCTGGCACTGGCCCGCAGGAAGCAGCCATGGCTGAGGCTCACGTGGCCCTGCTGGCCCCCAGCCCAGCCCGGGCCCCACAGGAGCCCTGTGTGACCCCATAGCTGTGGGCTGGGCAGGGTG